TCAGGGAATTGTAAGTAGTGCCATAACAAAGTGTCTCTCTTTTTTTCCAGAAATACGGTTGTCTTCATAATGCAAAATGTTCTAAGTTTGTGACAAAAAACTGTCTTTTATAACCACCCAAATTACTCTCTACACACATATGTGTTTCTATCTCAATATCACTACAATGCAACTGCACATCACTGCAACATTACTTGGCCTGCCTGAGGCCTATCTCGCAATTGCCCTTATAAACACTTGTTCAGAAATTACAGGGCTGAGGAGCTCCAGGTTTTAAAGAGGAAGGCAGTGTCGCACTGCCTGCCTTCGGCATACTGCTTTGACTAATCCAACCTTACACGCTCAGAGTTTTCATTCAGGGAATTGTAAGTAGTGCCATAGGGAAAAGTAGGAAAATAGGAAAAAGGCTGCATATAATTACATGCAGGAGGTCTGGGGGTAAGGTGGGTGATGTGGAACAAAGAGCACGTTTTCAGGAGCTTTGAAAGCCAGAGCGGCTCACCAAGATCAATGACATATCATCCCAGAGGAGCAATGAAAAAAAGCCTTTGTAGTTCTGCTCCCCTTCTGTCTGCCTGTATTTGGAATTTCTGAGCAGGCAGTTTGCAGCCAGCGTTCATGTGCGCACAGCCCACGTGCACTGTGCGTGCGTGTGAGCACACGCAGCGTCCACGCACACAGTGCTAGAGACTACAGACAAATAAAGTACCGTGCAAAGCTGGGTGGTTCAAAGAAATGCATATTTAAGTTTGAAGTTAATACAGAGAGAAAGAGTTGAGACAAGAGATGGAGAAATTGGTCCAATGATCTAATCAATAAAATGTCCATCTAGCAGATATTAAAATGGTTTCTAGGCCATGGAGAGCAGGTTTTCGTTCTGACTAATGCATTGCAAACATAAAGCAGTGAGAAACACTGTAAATAGCAGATTTCTAAAAATAGTCCCCAAGAACAACAAAAAAATCTAGCTGAGAAGAATACTTCTGAATCAGGTTGAAATTGGTTTTCAAGAAATAGCCTGACGCATGCAACATCAGCCTCTCAAGAAAGAACTTAATACAAGAGGCAGTTCAGAAGCAGACTGAGTGGAAAAGGTTTTCTGAGCCGCTGAATTTATAAAAAGGTAAATACCATTACAGGGAAAGGTTCAAGATAAGGAGGAGAACAAAAAAAAGAAAAGAGAAGCTTTTCCTCCTACAAGTGAGGGGCAGTGAAGTTTTTAGGACTCGGCTTGATATTTCAGTAAATAATTATGTTTTTCCAACTGAACAACCAGCTAGACACGGCAAACTGTAATTAACACCAAGACGCATAATACCATTTGGCATGCTTACACCTTGTTTCTGAACAGGAGGCTGCAAGAACTCCTTAAAAGCTATTCAGAGAAACTTATAATTATAATTATGTGCTAGTGTGATTAGGCCCTTCTAATAATGTCATGCCTATTGAGCGCACCCTATTGAAAAGCCCACATAAAAATGCACAGTTCCACTAATCTGTATGCTTATGTCAGAAGCCCTCATTCGGAGATCTGAGAAATGAAAGAAACATTACTATGGAGATTAAGAAATTTGGTTTAGCACTGTAAAATAATATTATGACTGAATAATATTAGCACCAGCTATTAATAAATGTGCCAGCATTTCCCATTAGAAGACACCATATGCAGTTGTTTATAGCTATGCCAAAATCTTTAAGATGTGGAAGTGAATCTCATGTTACAAAGTTCTTTGAATTCATTAAGACTTTGCTAACCTTGATCAAAACTTTGACTGTGGACAACAAAGTAGTCAAGAAATACACACTTCTGACTTTGTATGAAGGGCCAAAACAGCATTAATAAGGTCACAGAGCAATCTGATTACATATGCAATTATAGAGTGCTAAATATTTCTATCATTATTACATGTAGCTGTTATAATAGAAACTCTCTTTTCTTCATTTTTATTGCAGGAAACAAAGATACCCTCTAAAACTTCATGTAAAATAAGCTGAAAAAGTGCTCTGAGTCCAATTGCGTTGGTAACTAGCTCTTGTTCATTTTAATTTAGAAGGACTGAAAGCTGTAAGCAAGAAATGAAGATGCCTCTTACCACAGGCCAATTAATTCATGTACTCAAGAACGTATTCTCGAGAGTTAAACACAGCAGTGTGATTCCTGAGGACCCGTGAGTATACATGGGCCATGTAGCTTATAGAAGGCGAACAGCACCTGGCTGCTACAATGCAAGCAACCTTTGCAGGTGCTGAAGTCATACAAATGTATGTCGGCTGCTGTTTGAGTGCTTGGGTTACTGAGCAATTTTTGCAGATAATCACGTCTTCTCACACAGCCTGGATGAGTTTTCAGTATGTGGGACAAGTCAGACAAAAGAACCTCCTTTGTGCCACTCAGCCTCCCTTCCCCTCTCAACCCACCTTGCACCTCACCTCACAATCACTCACCTCCAGATGTTGTTATTATTTCTGGAGTCAAAGCAGAATTTACTACCCCTGTTTGGAAAACACCCTTGGGGCTCCAAAAACCTTCAGGCAAGGCAGGGAGAGAGATATATATAACGCTGTATTAAGAAGAAAAGAAATTAATGTCTACAAAGCAAGACATTACCATTCTCTTCATCTCCTTGGAGACCTGGTGAGCTCCAAGATGGTTATAAAAGGGCCGGTCGACACCCCAGTGCGGCGGGTTATGGCTGATGGAGTTCGCACGCTGACGGTTCATCTTGGCTATTGTGGCTTTCTCATCTTTCTGAAATACAAATGAGAGAGAAATGCAGACTGCATTTTGAAACAATCACAGGGCAGTCAATCTCACTTCTAGCCTCCCACCCCAGCCGCTGGCTTTGCACCTTCAACTTTTTGGAGTGGCTGCTGATCAGGTGCAGTCCCAGTCCACCAGTTCTTTTTCTTGTAATTTTTTAGAACACTTGCCCCTAACTGGTGCCCACCATCTCACTGCTTTTCTTGCTTTGAATAACCACCATAACCTGCGTAAATACCACGAGCATTCCAAAATGGAGGCATCCATTTATTTTTTTAGCCAACTGAATCAAATGGAATCATTTCACATAGGAAATTGCAGTTCCAAGCTGAGATACTGCATGGAGGGTCCTCAAAAACCAAACCCAACCCTGGCGTGTCTACAAGACAAATGACACACAGAGCGATCTGGTTGAAGAACAGGAGCCTTGAAGCTCCTTGAAGCTATGGGAGAAAAGGTCACTTTTGTAGGTACAAGCAAATCATCTTCCACACTGGCAAGAGCATCTCCCCAGGCACGCTAAGGAAAGCATGTAAATCTTGTAAGCAACTTAACCGTGCCTATTAAGGGTAATAGTAACACAAAGCGCAACAAAATGGTCTCCTCTACCTGCAAATAGTATCACTAACTTTCATGATGTTTGGACAAAGGTTTTGGTTTTGTTATCAGAGCTGGGTTTGAATCTTGGCTGTGCCTGGCTCTTACTGCAAAGTTTGCAGCGGGTCTGTCAGAGAGGTTTCATTCAAGCTCAGTTACAAGAACCCCGAAGTGTGGCATGTAACTACACAACAGGCTGGTTAGTTCCTAATTTTTAATATATCCTCTGGTTAAAAAGACAGGCAGGTTTCCACGTGGAATGTGTTCTGTGGAAAGACAGGAGTTTATTGCACAAGATCAAACACTTTAACCTTTCTCTAGAGACTTGCTCAGTGAGGACTGTGATCTACCTGTACTGACTCAGAAGGTAGAGGGGTGGCAATTACTACATCCTTGCTTAAAAGAGACAAACTCTGGAGAGCTTGAAAATTCAGACAGCAGGGACAGCTACAACCTGGCTGTTGATGACTTAAAAGATTAAACTTTTTCAAGAGAACGGCTGCTTCCATGACATTACTGAAAAATTTTAGATATAATGGGAGTTAATTTTGGGTTTCAGAAAGTGTTCTGTCAACTGAATAATTTAAAAAGAAAGAATCAGTTCTTTTAAACTCTAGAATTTTGGTTCAAGTGTTGTACGGCAACTCTAGAATTTTGGTTCAAGTGTTGTACGGCAATACAGGTTGGTCCGCATCAGTTTTGCCTGGAGTCTGCTTTCCCAACCTATTTATTTTGATTCCCCACTATTCACGGGAACTTGTAACAGTCAGGAGTTTGCAAAATACCTGGTGTTATTTCCATGGTAACCAGAGAGTTAAATGTCAAGTGTTATGCTGCCTTAAACTATTTTTTTTTCAAGAAATTATTAAAAGCCTGTTAAAATTCAGTGCTGGGGGTAGCTGTCTGATTGACAAGCATGGGAAATCATCATCTCTTTTCTTGCAAAAGAAGAGACAGCTGCGATGACAACATTTCCCATGAGACCACAAGTTCACCACGCAGGCACCAAGTATTCCTGGGAATGGAGTGCTGCAGGCTTCCTGGCCACTAGCTGGCAGGGGGACATGGTGCTGCTTGCGACTTGGACACTCGACTGGCCCCATGACAGTACCAGTGGTCACTGCAGTCCCGGGCTGCCAGCAAAGAGCTTTTTCCACCCAGCCAGGATGACAAGAGTAGGATTCTCAAGGAAACGCAGTGGGAGCAAACCTAAGGGAGCTGTCAGCTCCCCGGGATGTTTGCTGGGGAAAACCGTACATGCTCCCACATTGCATACTCCCAGAACCACAAGCGCCTCCCACGTCACCTCTTCCCTGCATGGAACCCACCACTGCTTCATCTGCAAGGGCTGAAAACTCCACCACTTGGCACCAGCTGAATTCCACATGAGCAGTCATGACAGAGCCACTGGATAACCTCCAGGAGAGCTGCGTTTTAAATGTTTCTAAAAATATACTAATGTGAGGCAATGCTGATGTCCAGATTTGAGTCAGTTTGAGGTTTTGTTTTTTAAAAGTCTTTTCTATCATTTGTAGCATTTTCTTGTGGTGTTTTTATTTTTTTTTTTTTTACGCCAGTTATGCAATCTTTTTCATAGTTATGCTTCTTTCTTCTATGGTGTGATGTCAGAAAACTGGCAGAAAATACAGTTTAATTATCTCCAAGAAAATACATATTGTTTTCAATAATAGAAGTTACACTGCCAATCCATTTTACTACAACTTAGCGAAGGGTTTTCAATCAAAAGCAATCAAAAAACCCTGACACAGAAACTAGTTTACAGACCTATAAAAGCAAAGCTATTTGGTTACATTACAAATACCTTTACATCAACAGATAATAAAAGGTACATATAGCAGGTTTCCACCCATGAGTTAGTAAATTTGATTGGAATTTGAGGAAAGCCTTAATGCCAAAAAGCCAAGCAGATGTACTAAACCCTCTCACAGCCAGGGAACGATCATTCTACCTGCTGCTAGTCCTGGTGACTCTGAAGCATCTCTTGGCTAATGCGAAGGGAATAAAAGACCTCATACGGGTTTATTGACAGATCTGGGTTGAGGTAAGGCTGGGACAAATGGGAAAATATATATTTCTAACCATGAGGTCAGGCACCACAAATTTTCCATGGCTACATGAACTCCGGCAGTATTTCCCTCCAAGCCCCATAGGAGATTTCAACTCAATTGTGAACTATGTTACAGCAATATTTCCAATCAGATTAAAACACATATATAAAAGCACAGAGGACTTTTTGCTTCCCCGCATTACAGACGGTGCTATTGTACTGTCTTGAACCATAGGTCTTTGTGGTTAATGTCAATATTTATTCAAAAACATTTTTTTCAACATGATATTTTTAAAAGCTGAGCTAATTTATTTTCTGAAAAATCACTTGTTCAGTGGGTGATGATAATAGCAAACTCTAAAAAATGAAGAATTAGAAGGATCACAGCTCCTCTGTGGGAATTTATGAGGATCCCTCCTCTCTTTCTTCCTGGCTAAGTGGCAGCACGAGGACAACTCGCACACAGGCTACCTAAGGCGTAACAAGACTGGGAAGAAGAATATAGAAAAAGAAGAGACCATACCTTTCAGTCCCAGTCATTACAGGTACTACCAACAGCAGGAGCAGGTGCAAAAGTTTCTGACAGCAATGAGTTTTTCAGATTTAAAGTGGCTAAACTCCAGAAAGCTGTTGTGGGAACTTTTCAAATCTGGACTCGCAAAGAGACTGTAAATCTTATTCCCAGAGGTTTTATTGTGTTCCCACCGCCAGTTCCCACACACTGAGCTACAGTAATGCTATAGTAAAACTGCAGAAATAGCTGGGATTTTCTTATACTTATCAATTGCATCAAGAATGCCTGTTACTTCTGTAGTGCGTGGTAGGATTTTCCGACATATTGATCACTATCAGTGCAACAAAGCAGGGAAACCTGAGCACAGATCAGTCATTTCAGAGTCAGCTACGTATTATTCTTAAACTGTCTTGAAGTCCTATTGACATGTGAATGATCTTTCTTGCAGTACTCCATTCTCCAAACCATTGCCTTCATAAATCTACATGAGCAGAACCCTGCCGAGCTGTGATTAAATTTCTGAAATTGAGGAGTCATCACATTAGATTGATTGTGTTTTAGGAGAGTGACATGCACAATATTTAAAGGACCATTTTGTTTCTTCAGCTGGATGGAGTCCCAGGACATTATTTAGGCAAGAATAAGAATTGTTTTTCTAGGAGTTACGGCCAAAGTTTTGTTGAGCTGTTTTAAGGCCACCATCAACAAGTCTTTCTGAAACTGTTGTGTACCTGTTATTGTTAAAAGAAACACCCATGTTTACTTCATTTGAAAGACATTAGAAAAAACCAAACAGTTTTCAGTTGGCCGACTTTGTGCACTCAGCGCAGTGTGTTTAGTCAGCACGATTGCTCATCAGGTGACAGCCACTTTTTGTTTCCACTTGTGTTCGAAGCAAAGCATTTCCCCAGACTTCAGACAATGTTGAGGACAATAAAACTAGATGTAAACCTCCTGCGTGCTGTTAAAATCCTATTCATATGAAAGTCTGTTTCCCTCTTCTCCAAACACACGCTGTTCCATCTTTCTCAGAGTAAAGCTTTTATAAATGATTAGGAGTGATGAGAAGAGTAGCTGTGATGTTTCTGCAAATTAGAGCAGCACCTCATCTCAAAGAAGAGCAGAAAGTTGCCAACAACCACCAAGTGACATGCTCTTGCACAAACTCCAGGAACTTGGGCAGCACAAGAACTGGGACTACTAGATACTACAGCAATAATTAAACTGACTACTGTCAGAACAGTAGGGGTTTGTTAGGATAGCAGTAATGACTGTGATGGATGTTTTGAATAAAACGCAGAAGGACAGCTATAGAAGTTATGGAGGTGGAGGTACAGAGCTGCGTGTTAGGTATGCTATAGTCTGACAGGTAAACCTAAAAAACCAAGGTATAACAAGAATAAAACAAAACCATTCTGTAGAAGGATAAAGACATTGTACTGAGTAATTCTGGGTAGTTCACTACAATGCCTCAGGGTTTCCTTTGGGAATCAGTAAAGATCTGGCTAATATTATTAGTAATTCTAGCTGATAATTCACTGTTCATCTGGAAATACAGACTTTGCAGGTAAAGAATGAAGATGCAAAGCCAGTAATGGAGGCATTCACCCCATATCACCCAAGGATAACAGAAACTTAGAAATCTGCGTTACTCTACAACTGAAGGAACAGATTATTTCTCTTCAGATAATTACTACTGCCATGGTAGAGACAAAAGGGAAGAGGGATCATAAGCATAGGGTTATAAATGGAAAACATGACTAAGTTGGAAACAAAACTTAAGTGTGATGTGCTGAAGTCAGAAGCACAACCTCCATCCCAGATCTGTGCAAAACTGCCAACTGCAATTTCAGTTGGTAACAGATACTTGTAATAACTATTTAGTCAGGGATCATGACACAGAACTTGTAGAGCAGCAAATGCTGGGCTTGGATTAACAGCCTTGAGAGCATCCAAGTTTTTCTAAACGGCAAAAATACAGTAGCTCTCACTGCCCTTATTTTTCCATAGAGCATTTGACAGTGCTGTCCTGGAGACTAAAGGCTAAGGCAGGTGGGGAAAACGAAGCTGGGCAAAGAGCTGCTTTCCAGTGAAATGGCAAGAGATGGCTCTGAATGAGGAAGTATAAGGCTGGATGAAAGTTATAGTGGAGTTACTTGATAATTAGTCTCAGAGTGGGTAGATTTTGTTTATTTTTTTTTCTTATTTCATCTGACACCAAGTGTAGCAATGACAGACTTTGCTAATGAGAGCAGAGGTAGTGTGCATTCGCACCTGACATTTGAGGACAGACATAGGGTCGGGGGACCTGACTCATTCAAGTCTACAAAATGCATGATCATTCACTTAAAGATTAGTCAGAATCTTCACTTCATCAGGAATCACATTAGTTCATCACAGAATAAGTATCAGATATCAAGATAATGCAACTATGCAAAAGGTAAAGATTTCCTTTCATGACCATGAAAATGAAGAGCTTGCGCTTGTCTCTTCTCCAGTGTGAGAAGTTTGAAGAGTTAGAAGAGTTTGCCTTAGGAGAAAAAAGGCTGAGAGGGAGAGAGGGGATACATTTGCTGTCTGACAGCAAACAGCAGGCAACCAGAGCAACCAAGTTTTGGAGCAGCCCACTACTAGCACTAATGGGGGCAAACAAACTGCAGCAAAAGATTCAGTAGATCTTTATGATAGAGCCTGCTAATTTTATGATAGGAATTACTTTATGTATATATAAATACTATGTATATATATACTATGTATATATAAATACATATGTATGTATATAGGTTCACATTACAATGAAATGCATGGCACCCTTTTTATCTCACACAGCCAAGAGTTCTTTGTATTTTGATTATCAAAACCCTAGCTTAAGGAATTGAAAACAAACACAGGGAAAACAAATTGGGAACTTTGGATCTCTGTTTTCAAAAAAACCCACAAAAACTTTTATGTAGGGGAACATAACATTGCAATAAGTCACTCCTGCACTGCTCTGGGTTATCTGAGCACTGGCTTCTTCACAGGCAAGTGCTCGCTCACAAGAGTGGCAGCATGGCAGGACAGGGCAAACAGAAAGATGAAAGCAGAGCTGCAGGTAAAGATGAGGAGAGAGCAACCTAAACAGACTGGGTTTTAAAAATTTGCAGTTTATTCTGTTTCAATAGAAGGAAACTCTTCTGTGTACCAGATAGAAAATAAGGACTATATTTTCAGCTCTAGGAGTTATTTAAAGACTGAGTGATCAGAATCTAGCTCTTTTTCCCTCCCAAAACTCAAGCAAGTATATTCCAGTTAACAGCATCTTTAAGAAGGCAAAAACCCTATTTTCAGAGAAGGAGCTAGTCTGAGTTCCTGGAACAAAAATATTAGATAAATGTTCCTCCCATTTACTCTGTGCCAAAGAAATGGCATTAACACAATGAAGAAGTCAAATAAACAAAACAAGACAGAAAATTTAAAGTTATGGCTCCTCATGGCAACAGTGAGGAGAAAGGGTATGCAACAGATGCTATTACATTTTATACATTCATTCTAACTCCTGTTGTTGTTGGGTTTTGATGGGTGTGGGACCGATGGACCAGGTATTCGGACAATTCAAGTCTGCTTGCGTGAATCTGAGGAATAGCTCAGGCAAACAGTTACTTAGGTCAACTGTGTATCTGCTCTCAGGTCAGTGCAAATACTTGCCTTGTGTGTGAGGACAGCAGGAACCCAGACACAACTCACAGGAACCCATTACAAAGTAAGGTGAACATTTTATGGCCATTACTGAAACAGACTGAACTAAAAACCTGGCTGAATATATCACAAGAAGTCATTAAAAACAAGCAGAAATGGAAGGAAAAAGTGAACTGACTGAGCTGACTATGGGAGAAAGCTTTTCTCACTTCTGATTTTCATATTATGTGAAAATGAGTTTTTAAAGAGAGAGAGAGCTTTGAACTATTCACAGAGGGACAGAATACGGCTATGGGAGCATGAAAGTTGCCGCAGTATGGTCAAATCAGGAGACCCACAAACTCTAAACACCAATATCCATGACCTTGGGTAGCAGTTTCTTTGTGTTTCAATTTAGCACAATAATTACATAGGCCATGCACATGTCCCAGTTCTTAGTTTCTCTGGGATGCAGTACGTTAGAGCAGCATTATAGCAGTGCCTAGAGACTTCAGCTGAGGGCTACGCTGTGTAACAGAGCTGCAATAAATACATACAAAGCAGTGAAAAAATGAAGCAGGGGAACCCATCTTATTTTACCATGGAAAATCAAGGCATAAAGATGCAAGTTCCTAAAAATCTATGTCTGGAATGAAATCCACATCTCTCCTGAGTCTCTCTCTAGTCTCCTCAGCTAAAGACAGCCTTGCATTCAAAAATTAAGTCAAGCCCCAAGTGCTCTGTGTCTTGTTTCTGAGGGTTTTTTTGTCTACACTGACATGGAGCAGAATCCTGATGTTAGGTCTTCCTCTTCTCTCCAGACAAACCTTCCATTCTCCACAAGAACATGCAGACAACTCAGTGAGTATATGATTTAAAAAGTCAATAATGCTTCTCCTTCCCAAGAGATGGAGTCTGACCATAAGGGTATTTTGGTTTATGTTCTTAGATCTACCCAGCAAAGAAGAAGTGCTCTAGGTATAAACATCAGCTGGCCCACTGACAGGCAGTGATGCTCAGGAAACAATAATCTTGCCCTGCAAGCACTAATCTTCTTTTGAAGATTGACAATTGTTAATGAGATTTATCTTATGAGCAGATAGCAACCAAAACATCAGCTTCTCTCTTCAGCAGATGATAAGGGATTTTCTTGGAGATTTTTTACACAATATCCATTAAGGAGATTTGAGGCTTCCATTCTCTCAGGAAATGAGGCAATGGTAGCGAAGTATTTCTGTACAGGTGTCAGTTATTCAAATCAGCCATGCTGTAGGAACATGTCACAAACACGAATTCATTTAATCTCACGGCAGTCATATTTACAGCTGTGGGAAGGTTTAATTGGTTTTAGATTTCAAAATATTTGAAACAATTTTCAATTCAGGCCAATTCTTATATGCCTGACCATACTGTGAATAGCAAAGCAGTGTCTGTAATTTAGAAATTACTTAGAGAAATATTATTGAATAAGCTCAACTAGATCATCAAAAAAGGTCCTTTTCTAGTATTACAGTCTGCTATTATTTAAAAGAATACAAAACAGTGATAACATTAACCTGTTTTCTGTTGCCAGCAGTGTCACAGAAAGAAGATATATTGCCTGAAGTCCACTTGAGTTTGACTTGACTCAAGTTCAAGTCAGTAATGCCGTAACAGCCTCATTTTGTGCAGCCTGACCTGTGTCACAGCAGTAGGTATGATCTCATCCCACTGTCACAGTGATCATCTATCATTACAGTGGGCCAGATTTTCCCATCTTCAGAAACAAAGGCTGAAAAGTAATGATAAGAACTGCTCTGATCTTTATGTTCATGGCAATATGGTGAGCAGATGGACAAAAACACCTCTCTCTGTATTCTGACAGAGATCTTTGTGGTTTTAATCTATAGTTTTAAGAACTTGTACAAGTATCAAATTTACTTGAAAAAATACATACCTATATTAACAACATTCTTCAAAGTGATTTTGAAAACAACTCAGGACAGTTTATTTGGTAGGACTAGAAAGTACTTGGTGAAAAAACCTTACGCAGAAGGTAGCTAGACTCTCTTCTATGCATGCAGAAGTTCAGGAAGTGCAGAGAGAAACCGGAATTTTTGTCACTATAATCTATAAAAAATGGTGTTCACTCTGCTTTGGTGTGTTGGAGACCATCCAGTTATTACAAGTGTCTAAAACCTGCGTTAGTTTGTTTGGCCTTACCCGTTTCTGGCTGCACCGTACAATCAAGAAGGTCTCAATACTGTGCTCTTTCAGATAAGCGTTGCGTTCCCCTCCAAAGCCCAGCTCCACCTCATAGTCTCCATTGAGATAGTTCAGGGTTGCTTTTGTTATGTGGATGCGCCTGGAATGAGATAAAAGACCAGCCAGTTTTGAAAGCTCTGAAAAGTCATCACCCAAAAAGCCAGTTGCTGTCAGTGACGTTCTACGTACTGGAACAAACAAGCAATAAAACCCGATTTATTTAGCCATGCCACTACTCTTACAGAGGTATTATGAGAGTTTCATCTATTTTAAAGCAAGCAGGCCAGGAGGCACGTTCTTAAAGAGAGAGGTGCTCATGTTAGGCAGCCTACATATCCATTTATAATCATGTCCTTAGATATAAGGCACTCAGTCTTTTATTCACTTTGCTCTCACACACAGCAGATATATTTTTTTGGCAAACACAGGACCGTCACAGGGACATGTCTACTCAGGTAGTATATACTGTAGCATGTATCTTTTTTGGTTTATCACATTAATCACTGTGGTACAAGAGTACCTTGTAGAGGTATCCTGTCAAGTACCGTAGTCTTACACTTTCTTCCAGAGCAGAGTCACATAGAAAAATTATCTCACAGAGTCAACTTGGCAGTGACTCAGTCTTTGGTGGGTCCATGCAGTGGTGAAACAAGAACTGATTCTGCTCTCTCACAGGAATGTTTCAAAACAAAAGGCTGGTCTGAAACAATGCTTCATACAATATTCATCGGTAGCTGGGATGCTCTCCAGCAAACACTGTAAACATACCGCCGTATCTCTTTGTAACCATGACCAGCTCTGCTCATTTCTGTTGGATTTATCAGCTTTGTTTCACGGAGAAGGAATTCAGTTCTTACCACAGAAAGATATGCCCAACTTGGGATTTTGTAAACTTTCTGTAACCAAAGACAGGTAGACATGGAACCTTGCTAACAGTTGTATGTGCTTAAGACAGGACACCAGCAGTTCATTTTACAGCAGACATCCAGACTCTCTTTCCCCACCTCACTGTGACATGTCAGACACAAAACAACACAGCGATTAACAGTACAGCTTTGAGGAAGCAACTTACCCAGCTTTGCCTCCTGCTTCCATGTGGTTTGCTAACGTAACATCGTTGGACCACACATCAAACTGCCACTTCCTAAGGCCCAAGACCCCACAGTGAACTCTCCCGCTGTGGATTCCAACCCTCATGTTGACATTTACTCCCGTCACCTCCCGGACTAGTCTGAAAAGAGATATGGGGAAAATGGACATCATTAAGAACTGCATGGTTGTAGTCAGTGGCACAAACTTGCACCCAGAACACAAAAAACTGTAACAACCCATAAATGTTCGTGCATAGGCACAGTGCTGCCCAGTCACATCAAGAGGACAACAAAACAAACCCAGACCAGCTGTACTGTTCTTGGATGGCCTGGCTGGCCAAGCCGAGTACTACTTAGAAAGGGGAGCCCTTGGAGTAAAAGCACATACTCTGAACTCACAGTCAAGTTGAGAACTCATAAAAAAGAATATTTGGGACAGGAAAAGAAATAAAGTGCCGGTGGTGTCTGATTTCCATACCAAAGCCGGACATAACCTGCCAGCACTCAGCCTCGTTAAGAGTAATAGCATGTTGCAAAGAGAAAAAGGAAATGATTTCAGAGATCTTAATTTGTCTGTACGGCACCAAGTATCAACTCTTCCACAGCCGAAATATGATATGTGTGTGAAATACCCCACTGCAGTTGGAAAGCCTGGACAGGGCTTACAGCTGCAGTCAGAGCAGTAAAACCAGAGAACCACATCTATTGCAGTCACTCCAAACAGGCAGCTACAAATACTCAAGCTCTGATTTTAATGAGGTTTTGGATGCTCTGCTTACTCCCAAAATGACTGCTGGAATATTTTGTGGGTTTTGCCCTTTTAGGGCAAAAGTTAACTTCAAGAGCTGTTCACATGGAAAATATATTTAGGAATGTGGGTAGGGGAAAGTCTTGATGAAGCCATCAGAACAACTCTGCTTCTCGTTATTGCTGATCACATCATTCCCAGAATGTTCATGGTTCACAGGCAACTTCACCTACATCACACAGCACCGTTCTTTCCTTTGAGTTGTCGGTTCCTTGCAGCATGAGGTTGTACTTTATATCTATCAGATTTCAATCTCTTTGGTTTTAGGTTCATCTAGTCCTTTCTAGATAACATCCTCTGAACAGGTAAGTCTTCCCGACTTCCTAATATCAACACATATCTAATATTTATGCTTTACTTACTAATGAAAATTAATGATTAAAGATAGTCCAATTCTGGACTCTAGTTCACTTCTCACAGTGTAATATGCCCCTTAAAAGACTGTTCAGGATACCGTCTTGTTGAACCAGCTCCTACCCTTTTACAGTTCCTTTTTCCTTACAATCCCAATGTTACATTTCACTATATACTTGCTGAAGTGACATTTGTTATTTGTATTAACAAGCAGCAGATGGTCTAGCAGGGAAGGGGAGCTGCATATGGGTGAGGTGCTATAGACTTACGATCTGAAAGATCTCCAACTACAACGCTTGGGAAAGCAACAGGAACTGGGGTAATGAAAAAGCAGCTGCAGCCATAACCCTTGCAAGGATGACAGTGGCTGCAGTGCCAATACAGCACTGGGGAGGGAGGAATGTGCTGCACGAGTGCTACAAAGCCTACTGCACCCTCTGCCAAGCCATGACACAAGACCAGGGAACTTCTCCCAGTAGAGTCGTTGATGAGAAGGTGACTTTTCCCAGACTTTGCATGAGTTTGGTTATCCTTTACGGACAAAGGAAATATTCTTTGTTACCTTCCTTTTTTTTTTAGTTCATTTATACGAGCAGTACAGTAAATATAATTCTATCTTTCTGATCTGGGGTAACACTCCCTGCTGTTATTGTGCACAGATGAAATCAGCCTAAGGGCAGGGCCCAGTGTTGGTGAAGCCTGCAATCAAATGTTCAGTAGCTGTTTGCTACCTGCAATCAAATGTTCAGTAGCTATGGGTTACCTTAATTGTGAAACCTCTTATCTGCATCCTTGGGGGAGAAGGGGGTGGGGGGAGGGGGAAGCAAGAGTAGTGAGAACAGTGTCACCTTCCAGACTTATTAAAAGATAAGATTGCTAAATGCATTCATCATTCATCAAGTGGGAAACAAGTTTTAAAGGCTGCTGAAGAGCTATTTGTAAACAAACATTAAGTGCACTTCAGCTCCCTGTTTATTTGAAGGTAAGGTGGGTTGCAGTTAATCAATGAAGTCTAGACACCCCAGTGTTACTCAGCCGTGTGGGGGATTACACAGCAATGTGTCAAGGTCTCTGGATTTCATCAGGCCAACTGTTGCAGAAAGTGAGACTTTTCCAGGCAATGTACACAGATTCTCCTTTGCAGGGCTGGTGGCTAAGAACTGCTGCTTCTCGTGTTTGACAAGACACTTTGTCACCTATCACTTAATTGTACTTCAGGGGAAAGAAATAGCATCCTTTCAAGGGCTACTGAAAACTAGTTACTTGCAACTCCTTGTTTTGCATACAAACCCCAGAAGAAGACTGGTGCAAAGCAACAGAGTTTGAAAGCAGGGAAGTAAAGGTAGGAGTCGTGACAGCGTGCACTGTGTACCAAGCAAGGGAATGCTGCTCCGTACTGCTCTTTGAGTGGAGTCTCTTGGGTGAAAATCCTGCTTTCCAAACTATGTATTTGTGTTGGGAAAATAAGGCTGTAAAGTGTGGGTGTGTATTCATTTTCCTTGCAGAAATTCGAATGGCAAGGATGTACTGTATCAAGCTCAGCAAATAAGTTATTATCACGATGAAGTGGAAACTCCATCAATTTACTGAATTAAATGAGAGAAGAACTGCAGAGAGATCTGCTTCTCCGTTGGTACCACTGGTGCTTCAGAAGATGCTTTCACAAAATAAAAAAAACTAGGAGAGAAGGGGAAAAAGATTCTCTGTGCAGCAGGGATGGTATAGATACTAAGGTCAGCTCAGTTACCATCCGAAACTGACTGAACTTTGTGCGTAACTTTGCAGACACTCAAGATGATCAAATAAATCTTCCCTCCCTGAATTCTGAAAGAATTGGTCTGTGAAAGCTCATTGGATGCAAACAATATTGCACACCGTCTGCAATCCTCCAAGAAATATAACAAGATATGGGTCTCATATTTGTTACTCTCTGAAGATGGGAATGTTCTGGACAGAGGATTGCTAGTCTGACCTCAGGAGCAGGCAAAGCTTCAGAACAGATTGTGGAAGAAAAAAATAAAGATGGGGAAATAAAGAAAAGAACCATGGATCTGTCACAGTCTGTGCCAGACTGAATTTAAGGTTTTCTTCAATAATCAACTTAAGTAAGAAAGTCTTGAATCTGACCTTTTTGGCACAGGGACACATGGAGAAGGATTAGTTAAACTAGACAAGACAGACCTTAGCAGAAGAATTGTAAGGTGAATAAAAAGCTGGCTTAAAGACAGTTAAGTGAAGAGTGACTGAAATTTAATAAAGTTGTTATTAATCCTCTGATTTCACATTTCTGTAATACACTGGAATGCTCCTTTGGGAATGAGACTTCCAGTAATTACAGTAACCTTTGCCTTTCTCATCAGGAGATTGAGCTCTGATAGCCACATGGCTGTAATGGACTCAAGTGTCTGTCCTACTGTCAAACCGTTACTGGATTTTGTTTTCTTGTTCTAGTTGGGCTCTCTTTTTGCCGGCATCAGTTCCCTGCTTTGGCTACCTTGCTGCTAACGTAAGGAAGACCTAATTAGAAAGAGAATCTCCTTGCTATTTCTTCTGAAATTCTCCATGGAGAATATGGTACTTACGAGATGGCCTCGATCATATCCATTCCCATTTCAACGCAGCAGTGTGCATGGTCAGCTCTTGCTTCTGGCAACCCAGACACACAGTAATAGCAATCACCCAGGATCTTGATACGTAAACAGTGGTTCTCCTAAAATAACAACAACAATGACAACAATAATAACAACAATAACGATAATGATAATAATAGTAATAATAATAAAGGAGGGAGAAGTATTCAGCTTATAGTCATGCTTGCAATAGCTTGCCTTTTAGGGCAGTGAACATTTACAGAAATCCAGTGAACCAACACAGTGTGTCATTCTTGCAACAGCAGAAAAAAAGAGTCAGAATTATAATAGAAAACTTACAGCTGCTAGCTTATCAAATCTGGCAAAGAGCTCGTTCAGCGTCATGACCAGCTCCTGAGCAGTACACTGGGAGGCCAGACTCGTGAAACCCTCTATGTCTGCAAAGAGGATGCTTGGGGAAAAAAAAAAAAAGAGAGGGAAAAAAAAGAAAGTGTCACAAAATTTGTTGCTATTTGTGTTAAGTTCTGGGGTAGAAGTCCAGGGATGGGGAGGTAGGTAGGTGTGTCCCAGCCCTGTAGCAGCAAGGAGATGAGCACCCCTACTGTCACCTTATGCTACAGCATCTATCACACATAAAGCCCCGAGGGGCATGGCCTTATCCCTTCCAGAGATTAGAAGGGGCAAGAAAACCCCACGAGCCTTTCATCCCCCCACCCCTTCCCCACATCCAGAAAACGTACAGTACGCTGGGAGCTGGTGGTGGCATGATAATGGTATCAGCCATCATTAACAAGGCACTCCTACACCATGACAGATTTGCTCAGCTATAAAATCAACACTTACCCATTTAGTTCACATTCCTCAGCCTCTCAGCTCAGTAACATCGTCTGCGTCTTTAACTGCGCTGGAGAAAACCCACACTCCTCTGCCTGCTTCCCCCGCTGCCCAAGTGCAGCCACAAAATGAAGTCCCTCCCTAGCGAATAACCTTAACTTGCCTACCACAGCTTTCACCCCTGCTTTGGAGGTCTGCTCCTACATGCACCCCAGCCCGTGGCTGGCAGCATCCTGCCTGGTACTGTGTGCCCAGCAGCAGCGTTCCTGCAGCGCAATGAATGCACAAAGGCAGGTGGGATGTCACCGTGTGCTGCCGGGGCGAAGGCTTGGGCACAGCAGGGCTGGCTGGCCATGCCCTCACACGCTCGGCTGTCCTGGGGAAGACTTACCGCTGGGCTTTTATGCTCTTTGTTCTCTGGAGAAGGAGATCTACACTGATGTACTCTACTCATCCCCCAGCTGTACACGCTTCTCACTCATTGGTTTTCCAACTGAGGCAAACCTCTGCTATTGCCACAGGGATACCAAATCCCTTCCGCCTGCCCAGGATGGACCAGGAAAGCCCTCTGAAAGCAGCGTGGACTGTTTTGAAAGCACAATTATTTGAATCACAAGCATCAATAACCACAGAATCACAGAATGGTTTGGGTTGGAAGGGACCTTAAAGACCATCTAGTTCCAACCCCCCTGCCATGGGCAGGGACACCTTCCACTAGATCAGGTTGCTCACAACCACATCCAGCATAATAATTACTTGATTTCAATTAATCAATTTTAATGTTGTACTGCAAAGATTTTTTTTTTAAACTGGAAAAAGATTCTGTCTCATTGATAATTACAACATTGAAAATAGTGATTTGCAATCAAACACAGCCATTATGCTAAATTTAAAACTATTCTGTAAAACAAGCACCAGGCTATGTTGACACAGATGTAAGATAAAGTGTATATATGCACACACATTTATATAAATATAAAATTCATAAGCTATGTTTGTATATTACAACATTTATCAAGTGGGCGATTTCTTCTTTGAAGCTGATTATTGCATCAAGGTGTACTTGAATAGGAAGAGAAATTAAAGGTGTAAATAACAAGCACTTTGGAATTGTTTTTTCTTTGTAAAATAAAGCTCCAGCACGTTTTAGGCAAGTTGCAGAGTCTATGTTTTCAGTTGGAATTCCCTCCAATGTCTTCAGACAGAAAGCAAAGACAACACAAAAATATTTTCCCAAGCATTTTTTTTGCAAAAATCCTGAAACACATTTCAAATCTAGTATGCTTTTCGTATTTTCCTTCTACATTTCAACTCCAATAAATCATCAACCAAACATATTGCATTAAATATTTCTTTTTTAGTCAGACTGAAGCTAACACGTACAAGAAAAAAGCAAGACAGAAATGCAGGGATGTCTGAATCAAAATATACTTTGCCATCTTTTAAACACTTGAGAAAATACACAAGAAATAAATCAAGATTTCACATATTTACAAATAAAAGTAAACTTCCCAAAGAAACACACTTGAAATGAACTGAAATCTTAGTCATGTCTGTGTTGCTCATTAATCAACTTAATTATGTGTTAATATGAAATGTACAAAGAGGAAATGTCTCCAGTTCTTGTGGCAGTAACATGTGTCTTGCTGCATATATGTTCCTCTTGTAGCATGGGGCAAATTGCAAATTCCTCACTTGTGGACATGTTCAGCCTCTGCTTCAGTGAGTGTTGTAACAGCCGTATGTTACAACAGGGGGAATAAGGAGCAATTAGGAGCAATAAGGAGCAACAGGGGGAATAAGGAGCATTGCTACCTGCTCTGACGTTCAGGTAGCAATGCGTGTAACTGAGCATACTACATAGGGATGTCCTGAGCCTTCTCATGCCTGATTCAGAAAACTAGTACTAGCACAGCGTCCTAATAAACATGGACAAATGACAAAAGTTGCCCTCTCCATTTCCTGTTATTATGATGCCAGATAAATGGATCAGATATTCCGCGAAGTTAACTTGTAGCAATATTTTCAACCAGGCAAATGAAGTAATCATTAGAGACCTCCGGAGATGACCTCTGCAGAGATTTATACCTTTCTGAACTGAAACTTCTTGATTATAATATTTTCTCAAACTTGTAACCTTCTATATGCGACCTGCAAATTGCTCTTTGTTCAAATGCAACAGCTATTTCCATCTTTATCCTTGCCTTGCACTTCCAAGGACAGCATGGTTGCAGGTCCACATGAGGCTCTCTGGCTGAGTTCTAGAAAACTACAATTATAAGGACACAAAAGGGTTTATTATGAGAATGAAACTAGAAAGGTTGTAGGATGGGAATCAGAAACGCATTCTGCACATGAGCCAGTAGCAGTGTTGGGAAGTTAATATTGTCTGACACCCCTGTTAGGAAGCCAACTACAGTAGAGCTTCAACTGAGCTCAACTCAGTTGAGTTTCTTGGAAGAGCTTCTTGGAATGGGTGTTTTATTTGAGGAAAGAGGGATTCATGAAACAATTTCAACAAAGTCTTTTTGATAATTTTTGAGAGGGAAGTCAAGGAAAAAGAAGTTTGATTTTATCTGAAGTAAACAAATGAATTGCAAATATTTTTTTAGATGCTTCAAGTCTCTTCTCACTCTTGAACATGGACACAACACTTGGCAATAAGGTATGAGCTTCACCTGGCACAGGATTTTTGCTCTTTACATGAAAACCTACTCCGAATTGGTTACATGCTAAGTCCTTTACATGACTCAGTTATTGCACAGCTGGCGATTAACATGAAGGTCTCTTGCTGCGTGGTCCTTCCCCGTGCCTTGCTCCCATGTCAGCTAACCAAGTATGAAACTCCTGAAGCACCTCAGCACATTCCATTGCAGGCTTGGGACAGTTGTGAGACCTGCTCTGCAACCACATAGCTTACACCACTGAGCTATCAGGAGACACTGCCTGGGACACACTGGCTGCAGGAAAAGACCATGTGGGAGGTGGCAGAAGACAGAGTAGTGATCTGGGAACCAGAGACAGAGAGGGGAAAGACACATATGTGGCAGGAGACTGGAGACAGAACAGCACACGACCGCTGGAGAAACCAGCCCTTGCAAACAGGAACCCAGTCTAAAGCCTCTCCGTCCTCTGCTCCCAGCAAAGAGCTCTGAAAGCCTCTAAATCACATTTTACTCCTCCTGCCTGATCTGTTCTCTCCGCAAGCTCCTGCTAGCTCTGCAGCTCCAGCAGCAGAGACGACAACCAGGTCTATTGCTCCCAGCCCTGCTGATGACCTGCAAGGGAGAAATGGGGACCCTTGTATGTGGTGCTGTGCTACTTCTGCTCTTTTTATTAGCCCCAGTAACCCTTAAATTCACTCTCCTCTCTGAAAAATACCCAACAACCCAGAAGCAACAAGGAAAAAAGTGGATTTCTTTCACAATAGCCATCAGAGGACAGCACGTGATCCTCACCTTGTGTTTAGTCAAAACTTTCATTTAAAAATGAAGCTTGCTGGATCTCCTTACATACACAACACACAACAGTGAGGTTCCAGGAGCATCTCCAAGTCCTGCCAGTTCATCTTATCCAGACTTGGAGCCTTAAACTTTAAACACACAGATTCCCTCTAATCTTGGGTCCTCACTCCACACATCACTTCAATGTCAGACTACCCTTAGCAACAAAAAGATTTTATTAAAGGACGATGGTGATGGGTGATTGTGACGAAGGGCACTGCTCAAGACAATGATTAATAAGTCTTAAGAGGGCAAGGCATTTCCTTGCTGGTGGGAGCACAATGCCAGTAACAGGCCTTACTTGTGCCAAAATGTAGGGTAAATGACGGTGGTCAACAAAAGGTCAAATGAAATAATTATTACAGCTATAAAATATCGTGAGATAAGTAAGGCAATGGTTCAGAAATACTATTAACTGAAGCTGATTGGAAGGGATTGACCACACAATCTGCAGCCTGGGCGTCAGCAACTATTATCAGCCCTACGTCCCAGTCCCTTCATCTGGAAGCCTACTGCTTTGTGGAAAAAACAGTATAGCATGTAATGAAAACGTTGTAACGGCTTCAGAGCTCTTGATTTATTTTCCACTCTGTTACTGCCTTCAGATTTACCATCTGATTGGGTTTTGTCCGGCAGTAACCAGGGTATGACCTCAAAAAAGACAAAAAAAAAGTTTATTTCTGGGAAAGACAAACAAGAAAATGGGAGTTATCATTCATTTTATTGTTTTTAATTATTTCTGTTTAATTTTGGTTGAAAAGTACCACAAATTGTGTTACAGGGTAGAGGTGAATACTTTCCTAAGCTCCTATTTCGGCTCCTATTTCCAGCAAGGACTGCCTCAAGAGTTCATAGCTCTACAAGGCAAACTCAGTTTTGTGCCTGTTGCCCTATGTGGCTCATGATGCTGACACAGAAAAAAGATGAAAAGGAGCTTGGGTAGCTTCCAGATCATGCCATCCTTCTCTCTGCTTGGAGGCCAGCCAGCTTGGTACTTGCTCGCTCTTTCCCAAGACTCAACCAGGGGAGCTGGAAAGGCATATGCAAGGACTGGAACAACCCTGAGGCTGAAAGCCTGGGGTTGAGAGGCAGCATAGGGGAGGTTGGGCACACAGGTCTTGCTGCTGCTACCAGCAGGATGCCAGCCTTTGCCTGAACTTGGCCCTTACCAAAACCACCACCACCACTGTGGACTGCAAGACCTCCATGAGCAGGACATCTAGATGTTTTCTGCAGAGTGTTTCACAAAGATGCGAAGGCAGAGGTGAAATGGAGAGAGGAGCAGCTAAGATGCAGAGGCAAGAGGAGAATATTCCCAAAGTGCTGAGCTCAGCTTTCCCATTTTTTGGTCTGTAATGCATTTACAGAACAATTAAGATACACACAGAGAGGCAGCTCAGGTACCAGCAGGAGCTTCAGCACAACACCCCAGGGATCAGCAGTGTGA